ACTCACACGTAGGCCTAGGACGCTTGGCCTATAGTAGATGATATAACTAAGTTAGATCTAATAATAATAATTTAGATAAGATCATAAGAATCTGTATTAAAAAAACACTTACCTGCTGGCAAATGATTCATCAGAGATCTAGTAGACCTAGTCCGCCTAACCTGCTAGTAGGGTTGCGTTGTAAACACGAGTACTTGTAAGTTGTAACGTTATTATTAGGCCTATACATACGATTGTTAACAACCGGTTCGTGGAGGTCATTAAATTCTAAGAACAGGTTCGCACGAACCGGCTGAATCCCACCACTGAGTCCAACCCTAGTACGCATTGGTCTTCAATGTCAGCCGAGTATACTTTGCATAAAAGAAACTTGAATGTCTGATAAGAGTACGCCACAAACCTCAATCTCTTACAGTTTATAATTTAATATTGTGTAGCAAATTTCAGGATTGGAAACAGCTGATAAAGCTCAACCATAGGTTTGAAGTTCCGTTAGTGGCATAAGGCTGTAGTTGCAACCTACATTTGTAACAACATTTTAAAATAGATATAAGGAATCAACTGTTTCTATAGGTAAACATATACGCACACACTATTCTCCAGGAAAAATCTCAAACTCATTAGTGGATATATGTCCCTTGTTTCAATGGAACTTTAGGCAGAGTAGACATAGTAGGTTTGAGAACTTTAATGGACTGCAATTACCTGAAGAAGGCCTCAGTATATAATCCGAAACGCCGTCCTTTTTTTTCATTCAACAGGTAGTTGCAGTCCATTAAAGTTATCAAACCAGCATGTCCTTTGTTGTTCTTAATTTATAAATATATATGTATACTAGTCCATTAAGGTTTCGCCTGATCTCCTGATCGGAATTTAGGTCTAGTGACCTAGGAGGGTCAGGTACTCTGAGACCTCTTCCTCCCTGCATTAAGGTTTGTAAGTTTGTTTGTTTGTTTTTTAATTTCGCGCAACGCTACTCGAGAGCTATCTGCGCTAGCCATCCCTAATTTAGCAGTGTAAGACTAAAGGGAAGGCAGCTAGTCATCACCACCCACCGCCAGCTCTTGGGCTACTCTTTTACCAACGAATAGTGGGATTGACCGTCACATTATAACGCCCCCACGGCTGAAAGGGCGAGCATGTTTGGTGGGACGGGGATTCGAACCCGCGACCCTCAGATTGCGAGTCGAACGCCTTATCCACCTGGCCATGCCGGGCCAATGTTTGTAAGAAACAAGCAATCGATTATCACACAGCCACACTTCATTCTGGGCGTTATCTAATAATAATAATAATTTTTGAAGACTATGTTATGAGTTTTTTTCGACTATTATCTGTGTTAATAACAGATTCCAGGTTCAATATGGGAAGGAAATTAAAACTGCACTGTAGAAATTGTGGCCACAACTAATTAGATAGATTGAACAATTTTTACAAAACATCGAACATCAAGTTATTCAATAATTTATATTACACCTTTATCATTGCTATTGGTGAAAGAATATTTTGGCATTTCAGAAAAATATAATATTATAACTTAATTATTACTGGATGTAACAGATATTGCTTAACGTTTTATCTGTATATCATTTCTGAACAAGGTGGTTGTTCTAAACTAATTTTGTGTTAAATACATTTAGTTGTAGTATTAATTCAAAAATTTAGTGAAACCTACACAAATATGACTTCCGAGTTATTTGTAAAATCCGGCACAATATTACTTATATATTTAGCTTCTGTCAGAAAGCAAGCTGGTGTTGTGAACAGCCTATTTAAGAAACCTTCCGGGCAAGAAGAGTTACACTATTTCTGTAAATTAGTTAGCTTAATTTCAGTTACTGACGTAAGGTCTGGTTTAATAATTTATTTTCTCTTAACGCTTTTGAACTAGAACTATGTATTGGCAACTACACAATTGTGGAAGCATTCACGTATATGTGGGATAACTATTACTCACTGACAACTAAGCTCTTTGCCAGGAATTGGCTTCGTGAGGGGTCTAACTAATCTAGCTTTATGTATGCTGTTGCACAATAGCTATGTGGATTAGAAATTCACTAGTGCTTAGAACAAGCACATTTATGTAGTATCAAAGTGACTGTATTCACCATTAATACTATAAAATGCAGCACATACGCTAATACATTCTGTCTAGATAACTATTTTCTTAGAAAATGCCGAATCACAACATGACTTGCTATAATATATTACTTTACATTGCTGGCATAAATAACGTCTGACCTATCATAAGTTAAGTTAATATTACTGGATAGTCATAC